TAGAAGATACACTCTTCTCTATCATTATACTAAATTGGAAATTGGGCAGATGGTTCAAAAATCATCTGGAGAAAAAACATTGATGAAAATAAGGACAACATAGCTAACAGATTTAATCAATATATTGTCAGGGATGACACATCTATATGCCATTCCCACTACAATATATATATATAATATAGATATAAACATATGAATCCAAAAGTGTTTTATCATCAAAAAGGAAACTACTAGTCCTACCTAAAGGAAATACATCAATATATGTTATATCTTTCCAAATGCATATCATACTAATATCTTTTCACTGTCCCTATGCAGGAATGCCAACTTCATTGCAGTCTCACAAGACATTATTCACTCTAAAACTCTTTAGTGCCTTTAATAATGCCAATAATTTCATAATGGGCTTTGTAGTTGATATACAAAATATTTAAACTTATTTAATCTAACGTCTTATACATCATAAAATCCAGGAATGTTATCAACTGATGACGGATTGCATGACACTATTTTCAAGCATCAACACTTGTTAATTGTCAGCACCTTAACACTGACTCCTCCCCCTCCTATTCATAAAAGCTTCTTTCCCCTATCCAAACTGGCCAAAGGAGCCCAGATTAGACTGTATTTTGATACTAGTATTGCTATATTATCAAAGAACCACAGAAGCCAAGTACTAGACAAGAAAAACAAGCACAATGTGTGAAAGTAAAGATCCACATTGTGCTATACTCCCTGCCTAGGGATGCACTTCTAATGTTCCAGTGGTTGCCACAGTTTTAACCCAATGTCGACGGAAAAATGGTGCGTTCCCTTTGGCAATGCTGGGTAAAATGTTTTTACACATAGATGGCTCTGCCAATGCTTAGCCACAAAGGAGTCAATTAGTAGATCTTGCGACCTAACTTTTCCTTGAAAAAGCGGAAAAAACGCATGTTTTACTATTGCTATCAATATTGAGTTATTTTTGTTATAAACATTATAATTACTATATTGTTACTGACATAACTAACAGCAATATTACATATTAGAAAATATTATCGAAAATCAAGGAAAAGGAAAAACAGGTAAGACAGGTAGTTCGCATAATTGGCTCATTGGTGACAGCACTTGTGGGGCCATCTATATGTAAAAACAATTACTAAATTCAACACACCCAATGGGCAATGGCAAGTACGTACATGCCATGCCTGACAGCTTGGGATTAATTCCCTTTCAAACTTTTTAATGTATGGACAGTGATTTTCATAAACTTCAAGTGATACCAGCCAAGTTTTCAACTAATTTTCTAACAACAACTATGATATACCCCATTTTGGAATACATCAGTTACCAGGGGGGGGGGGGGTTTACCAGCACCCTACAATAATGCCAAAAACCTGTCAACCAATACGGAGTTCTAAATTTACTGCAGATTAGATTTAATGTCAAAAATAGTTTCCTTTCACTTACTTTTTTTTGACAAAGAGAGAAAAACAATTAATGCTCTATAAAGTGAATTATGGACCATACCCATCACAAATATTTAATCCTGACAATCCTAGAATAAATACACCAGAGCAAGATCAATTTTAACTTTATTGGTGGTCAACATCCATTTTTACCACAATGAACCAAGCCTAAATGCTGAGTAGCAAAGATTCATACAATGAATGGTCAGCGTCTTCCAGGTTCTCTTCTAAAAACTTTTTGACTTGTTTAACTCTTATAGCAACCGAGTTACAACCATTTAAAGTGGGGTTAAGGCCTAATCTATAGCTCAATAGCTGGGAAATTGTGAATGCTGGAGCCAAATACACACAGTATGTGCCTCAATTCATTAAAGGAGAAATGTCACCATTAGGTTAATCTAAAACTGGGTAGAAACAGATACAATACAAGAAATTGAACCCTGTCATTGAGAGAACTCAAAAAAACAAAAAAAAACAAAAAAGTTCAGTAATACCAGAAACCGTACATACCATGGAAAAAAAAAATAAATAAAAAATATTATAACCCAGTTTAACCCATCAGCGACGGGTAAAAATTTTGTCAAATTTACGTATGCACCGGCTTGTTGGCGCGCACTGGCAGTTTCCCGTTTGCGCCGGCTCAATCGGTAGTTTGCGAGCATATAGCACCTAAAAGCTTTTATTTTACTAAAATTTATAATAATATTAAAATTTTGAAGGTTTACCTTCACTTTAGGTGCCATTGCCTACAATCTTTACCATATAAATGAAGCCGCTACTAGTGCAGAAAAACAAACTCCGTCCGACGAGCCAGTAGCGCGGGGAATGGGCATGGCATGATGCCCCGGCGTTTGGTCCACAACAGCCATGGCATGTACGTACGTGACACCCAGCGCCAATGGGTTAAGGGAAAGAGTCGTCGGTACAGTCACGAAATTCATTATCCGGTCCTCTTCACTTTAGTTTTTTTTAGCTAGGTCAATAAAATTTTTACAAAATATGCATGGATTTGTGATGCTTGAGTACAAGAAATTTGATTTTAAAAAGCTACATAATTTTTTGAGCTAGAAAAAAAAAAAAAAAAAAAAAAAAAAAACAAGCGAGATGATTGAATTCGAAAATTATGTAATGGCTTCCTTATAGTGAATAGTACTGCAGTTTCCTTCTGACCAGAGTTAGTCAACAAATAGGAGTACCAACTGTAGCATTTATGTAAATCTATCTGAAACGACAATGTTTCACTTACCTTGCAAAAAGTGACTTTTTCGTAAAAAAATCACCATTAATTTTGCAGTAAAATATGTATTTGATGGAAATGATGCGTGATTTAGCTACAGTTAGTAGATACGAACTGAACGATCATTTTTGCAACAAGAATATTAAAATTGCATAATTACATACGAAGTTCTACTTACTTTCATGCATGAAAATATGATTGAGAAATAATTTTTGTCATTCTTCATTACATCATAAAGGTCATACCAACGATTACCAAATGTGAATATCTACTTAGACAATCCCTTGGCCTGTAATAGGAGTCCTGTGGTAGGGGATCAAGCCTTGTTCAGGTAATTTTAGGTCATCTTTATGTCAAAGTTAGGCTAGGTTAGGTGGGAGTGTCACAGGCTCACGTATCCACACACAAAGTTT